ACACCTATGTGACCTCTAGCATCATCAGCTGACATTTAGCAACATTAACTAGGCTGATTTAACACTCAAATATCTGCAGCCATATTGTTCCCAATAGGATGAAAAAGTATTTTTGTACACCTAAATGTAAAAAACATGTGTGTCAGAGGATTTAAAACATGGTCAACACACAATTGGCCTTATTAAATCCAGTGCTGCTCTGTCTGTAGCGCAAACTGAACGAACGTCTAGGTTTTCACACCCTTTGTTCATTATGTGCTCTGAAAGCTTTGCTTATCACTATGTAACTTGGTCCACAGCCACAACACATAACATTTCATGGGTCACAGAGCCTCTAACAACCTGGTGCCAAGTGGGCCTTGGGTCTGATGACATGAGACGGAGAGCTGCACGTAGGCCAATGAGTTTGGTCGCTTGCAGGATAAACAGTCATTAATGTGAAGGAATTGTCTGCACTGCAAGTGGTAGGCTTTTACTTGTACATAATGCTGTATTGCAAATAAGTTATAGTACTGCAGTTTCTATGGTTGCTATGAAAAATCTTGCATCACGACTTCACAAAAGCAATCTCTCTCCATTTAAGAGTGACTGACTGATAAGTCAGATAAAATAATTGACTTAGCGCATGCCTCCAGTATGATCAGGTGCTTTTGTAATGACATGCTTTGCTGATATAAGCCAAGCTGCACTCAAGACTGAATTGGCCTGCGAGGAGGAGAAGCAAAGGGAGCAGGGTAAGCAACACAGCATGTTGGGAAGTTCAGGAATCTCAGGATATGATGTAGTGTTTGCTTAGGCCTGGAGGGAAAGAAAAAGCGTCCCTCATGTCTCGACATGGAGAGGGGAAAGGAAAAAATACACATTATCTTACTCAGAACAAAATGACATTGAAATATTTTACTACTTCTCTTATTCTATTTAAGGGTATATCGACAAAATAAAACTCCTGAGTACAAGATTACAAAAGGTAGCTCCAAGAAGCACTACTTTTGTGTAAATTATAGCATCACACATTGTATGCTAGCTGATACCACAAAACTGGACAACGTTAATTCTGGATAAATTAGAGTGCCATGGAAGAAATCGAAATTTGACACCTGTGCTGGCTGCTATTGTTCCCCGACTCTGTTCCCTCTTAAAACCCAAGGGTTTATTTTGAATGCCAGCTTTCTAGACTCCATTAAGTTAACTCCTGTTTAGAAACTCATTTCACGACAGCAATTAAACCAGCTGTATGTCCATCTCACAAATTCTTGCCTCTGCTCTTCCAGCAGTAACTGTGAACGGATGAGGCTGCCAGGCTCTGTGAGCGTAGGCTGTTGTGAACCTGACACTAGATCTGCGGACAAAACGTCTGGATGGATTATGGATGTGTTGTTGCACAGTGCTCGTAACGAACCATGAGGAACCTTGGAGTTGAGATTCATAAACATTTAATTTCCTGTACTTTGTCTCAGACACACACAGACAGATACAAACACACACATGGATAGCCTGTCCCATGTGCGAGCATGTCCTCAAGATAGACGTCAGCACAAGCAAGACAAAGGAAAAGACATCAAGGTGAACATCAAAGGTTCAGGAAGTTCACCATTAACACACTAATGAAGGAGCAGATTCTGAAAACATGGTCAGAGTTATTTCTAAATTGAACACATCTGACATGTAACTCAGCAGCAATTATTTATTACAACTCAAGCATATTACAGTTTTCAGGCATTCTTAGCTGTGAAAAAGATGTAAAGTGGGTGACTTTTTCTGAGTTATTAATATTTAACTTGTATGTGCTCTCAACTTTTAAATGAAACAGTAGCCCACACAAACTGCCATTACCTGAATTATCTTGAAAGTATGTATATTTAAGTATACGATAAGTAATCCGGTAACACTTCCAGATCACATGGGATGTTTAGCTTTTTCCATAATATACTGAAAAGCAGAAAATTCCCAGTGACGTGAACTGGTTTCAGTATTTCTACCATTTACCATGTGACCGTTGTGAAGAAAGATAAAATAGTTGCCGCCATGATAACTTTCCAGGCTTGTAAACTCCTGCGAGTATTATAAACCGTTGTGCAATGCTTTGGTGCTTGATAAACTTTTAAGCGCATTAATCTGTTACTTTCCTTCTGGATCAGATTTCATATCTCACCAGACCCTACACAACACCCCCCCGCCAAAGCAGCCTCTGCATTGTTTTAACGCAGGGCTCATTTCAGTCTGAATGCCTTTAAAAGGCGATTCTGATGGACGCTCTATGTTTGCAATTAACACAGACGCTGCAGCACTGGTTGCTCTGAGTTGCCTAATTCACGTTTGCTACGTCAATCAAAGAAATATGCGTATTTAAAAAATATTTTCTAAGTTGACTCACAACAACCCGTGCGGCTGTGTCAATCTCATCCACACTTGTCGCATTTGCTTGTTGCCATTTGTCCTGGCTATGATACAGGATTATGACGTCCCTCAATTCCACCTAGAAAGCTGTTTTTCAAATGCAGGAAAACGGCTGTCAATGACCACAAGACATATTCAAATGGCTGAAAATTCAATGGTATGGAGGCAAGCTAGACCGTAGGAATGTATTAAATGTAAAACATTTAACAAGAACATCAAGATCATACTTGGGCTAAAAGCAACAAATGATATCAAATTTTTAGAGTTTGTGTTTTGAGAGTTAAAATGAACTCATTGCCTTCAAATGTCTGTCTATAGCTATATGGCACAATCTGTTGGACCTTTGGAACTTAAAACTACACATAAATGTCCAGTGATGAATAATTTGAGCCCAAACTACAGTCATCTATATATTTCACCGTTTCACCAGTGTTACTTGCTTCATAATGTCCAAGACATTTTGGCTAAAGGCTCCTGCAGACTACACGACTTTCAGCGTCGGCCTATGGCCTATGTGACTGATCGGTGAGAGGGGGTCACACACACTACACGAGCTGACAAGGACTCTGTCACTCTGGGTGAAAGAATGGATTAGCACACGCATGTAGCAGGGATCGAGTGGGGTTTCACTAAAGGTGTCGCACATCCAATCAGACTAGCTGCTTGACGTGTGCGCGGTAAACTCATCCAGAAACATTCAGTAAAGCAACAGGGTTACGTGGCAAGTTGTAAGAGGCACGTTTGCTACAAAATGTGGGTAGAATTTAATTTAGTTCAACGTAGTTAAATGTGTGAGGATAAATTCAGAGGTCTTTCTGAGTGGCTGCCTGAACAATTGCAGGGTGTTAGTAGAACAATTTATATATTCGGCTGAACATGAAAAATTATTGTTCATACATGTTTACCTGGATGCTCACGTGCTTCTTTCTATCCCCCCCCTCCCCGGACATCTCGCATCACTGACCCTTGCCTTGGTCTGGCCTACATTTCTGGTTTTATGCGCTAAGAAAAAACAAAACCAAAAACAGGACTCTCACTGGCTTACCCTTAAACCCACAAAGGTCACAGAGACACTGTAAGGCCGGCAGTATATAGTCTGAATAAACACAAATTTGGCATCTTCTCAACTGCAGTCAACTTTGCAACTATGTCGTCTCAGTACTGTGAGCAAACACCAGTTGTCTGTAGGTTTGCTTATTAAATGACATCCATTGTCCACACACCAGATGAAGGAGCCTGTGAGTCATGGTCGGTTCGCACATGACTCGCCAGTTCCTCCAAAAAATGAATTAAACATGAAAACCAAGCAGTATAACTCTAGAAGAACTAGACTGCAAAAGCATAATAAAAAAGTCAAATAATCATCAATCAATAAAACAATCATTAAAGTCAGGCCTGGGAACAAAATAAAAAAAGCTCACTGGGACCTTCCTACCATTTCTTCTTTGGTTGGTGCCAAATTATCAATAAATAAAAAAATGCACAGTTACAGAAAAGCTATTCATCATGGCATTTAAAAAAAATTTAAACTTCATTTCAAATGTATTGAACCAATCTGAAGTTGAATTTAATCAAATTAAATTAAAAAAAGAATATATATATTTGTTATTTTTTACATTATGCTTGATTATATTACTTATGCATGCACGCGATACATAAAAACAAATTCATTGATCTGGACTGGTTTTGCACATACCTTACATAAACACATATTTAGTGACGTAACGTTAAACTCTTTCTTACTTTTATTTATTTGTATACATTTGTATACAATATCTACTGTCTATTGTTGCTGAAGTGCTACATTTAGCTCCTGGGGATAAAGAAGTTTCATCTCCCCTAAATGTATGACATTTATTGTAAACATTTGCATATTATTACATGGAAGATTACATTTAAAAAGGTGAAAAAGAAACATCTCATTTTGTTGTAACTTTACAGACTGGGATCCTTATACCAACACAGTAATGGCAGTGCCATATCCTGCATGAGCTTCCTTTGGATGTGTTTTCACTGCACAAACAGGAACCTATTGTGGTAAAATGGCACACCTCAAGGAGCGCTGGGATCCACTCACAATATATTGCATACACAACACATATTTAGATACATATGTGTACTTAGGCTGTTGGGGAGAAAGCCTAACTAAGCTATTATTTAAGTTATTTGACTATTTAAACTAAGAAATGAGCTTCTGTTTGAGAAAGGGGCAGGGGCACAGGTGCTGCCTGAGGACTAAACAGACCGTAGAGTGATCGTGCAAGTGATGACGAGCTTTGAAGAAAGACACAAAAGAACATTCCTCACACAGACACTCCTCTCATGTATCAGTGCCAAGATCCATCCACTCCAGTCACATTTTTAACTGACTACACATGGAATATGGACCATGACAAGGCATATTTTAAATCCAATCTTTGCAGAGTGAACAGCTTTTAAGGATATGGAGCTTGAGAAAAATGCCAATGTTAAAAGTCCTACGAGAATAAATCCTGACAAACCGTGTTGAACTAACATGTTCATACAGGTAGAATGG